GGCCGGAGTGTGAACTAGAAGAATGTCCGCGCAGGCCGCGGGCTGCTCACCTTGTGGTGGTGCTGCGGCTTGAGCAGCACGGGCCTCTGGCTCGCCGTCACGGCCACCGTGGGGGCCGCTGGGAGGGACACGGGGGGAGGGGGGAGGGGGACACGGGGGGAGGGCCGTTACGTGCTGGCGAGTCCAACTTGACTCCGAAACGTCGTGTGGTAGTGTGTAGTGTATAGTGTATAATAGTGCAGTGTATATTAGTGTATAGTGTAGTGTATAGTAGTGTATAGTGTAGTGTATAGTAGTGTATAGTGCTGTGACAGAGTCCACCTGAAGACGGAGTCTTGTGTTGCCTCCGAAACGTCGTGATTTTTATTTTATTTTTATTTTACTTTTATTAATTTAAATTTTTTACCCACGCGACTTTACCGAACAAAAACCACCTAAGTACGGTAGCAAGTGGCCCCCCCGTGGCGCTCGCTTACAAAACACCCGCACGCTTGCAGTGGCTTCGGCCACGCTGGCGCGCCCCGCCACCACCTGGCAGACGAAGTCGCGCTCGTCAGCGGTCTCCGTCGCGTTCAGAGCCAGCGCGGAGTCGCTGCGGCGAGCGTCGATGCGACTCTCGTAGCCGGTGCCCAAGTCCGCCACGAAGAGTCGCGCGTCGCGGTACGAGATCCTCGTTCGCGAAGATTGTGAAATCTGTGCCGGGGGGGGGGTTGGAGTCTATGGGTAGCAGTGTTGAGTCTATGGGTGGCAGTGTTGAGTCTATGGTGCAGTGTTGAGTCTATGGGTGGCAGTGTTGAGTCTATGGTGCAGTGTTGAGTCTATGGGTGGCAGTGTTGAGTCTATGGTGCAGTGTTGAGTCTATGGGTGGCAGTGTTGAGTCTTGAGTCTATGGGTAACAGTGTTGAGTCTATGTGTAACAGTGCTGAGTCTACGTGTAACAGTGCTGAGTCTACGTGTAACAGTGCTGAGTCTATGGTGCAGTGTTGAGTCTATGTGTAACAGTGCTGAGTCTACGTGTAACAGTGCTGAGTCTATGGGTAACAGTGCTGAGTCTCTGGGCAGGGCATACGACGTACGTATCCGAGCGTGACAAGCGGCGGTGTGCGTGTGGGTGGGGGGGGGGGGGTGGCGCTACTCACGATGAACCACTGGGTGACCACCTCCTCGCCCACGGAGCTGGTGACCGTGCAGGGGATCACCAGCGGACTTCCCAGCTCCACCTCCACCAGCGGGGTCACCGCCACGGAGATCGCCGCTTCGACGCCTGCGGCGATGACGGTCATCGCACGCAAGTCACGCTGCAGACTGCTAGTGTAGTGTATAGTGTAGTGTATAGTGTAGTGTATAGTAGTGTAGTGTATAGTAGTGTATGTAGTGTATAGTGTAGTTTATAGTACTGTAGTTTAGAGGATAGTAGTGTAGTGTATAATGTATTGTGCAGCAGTATATATTAGTGCAGAGTATGTTACTGTAGTGTATCGTAGTGTAGTGTATAGTAGTGTATGTAGTGTAGTGTATAGTGTAGTGTATATGTATATAGTAGTGTATAGTAGTGTAGTGTATAGTAGTGTAGTGTATAGTGTAGTGTAGTAGTGAAGTGTACAGTAAACGAGGCTAGATGACGACTTATACGATGGAATCCACCGTCGTGCAGGAACCAACGAGCATCGCCCGTCGCACTCAGCAAATCAGCACTCAGCAAATCGCGACTCTTTTTTTAAAGAAAGACTCCCCATCGTACAGCACCAATTCGCGTGTGTGGGGTGCCACGAATCTTCCGCGTCTACAGACAACGATTCACACGGTGAAGCCGAACCACGATCGGATGAGGTGGGGGGGGGGATGCTGCTGGATGCTGCCGATGTTCACGGCGGCGGTGATCATCACCTTGGAAGGAGACGGAGACGAGCAACAGCAACGCGACACATCGCAGCGACATGTGGCCGGCAAGTTCTCGCTGCTGCTTGCAGCTGCTGTTGCTGCTGCTGCTGTTGGTGCTGCTGCTGCTGCCGCTTGTGGAGCCGTGAACCCACCGTGCCCTTCTCCTCCCGTCGTCAATCCTGTGTCGTGTGAAACACAATGCGGCAGTCCGCACTATCAGAACACATTCCTGCTGCGGAGGGAGCTGCTAGGAACACGTTGGGTTGCTCGGTCAATGGCCTGCAGGGTCAACGGCGGCGTGGTGTATTCCGCAAATATGCCCGACTGTGAGGGCGGGCACAAGCCGGCGTGAGTAGGTGAAACGTTGAGTTTTATAAGGGCACCACGGGGTGACCAGCCCCACCCCACCCTCCCTCTCCACCCAGCCCTCCCCACCCATTTCTGGATGCACGACGGACGGACGGACACAATAATCCCCTGTGGGCTGGTGGAACCAGGAGGTTTCTAGCGGTGACATTAATGCTGCGTCACTCCACCAGTAACGAATGGAGGATCAACCGACACAGCCGAGGCGCTCCCCGTGTCTCTCCCTCTCCCCGTGGCGGCGGCGTCGATTTACCTCCTGCCCCCCCCCCCCCCGGTCCCCCCTCCACTCGTTCAGAGTGAACAGCGGCACGCGGCGCTGAGCGCCTGTGACCCACAGACACCGACTCGCGGTGCCGCGTCCAGAGTGAACAGCGCCACGTGTTGACAAGCCTCGCCTTGTTGTTGTTGGCAGGTCGCTTCTGAAAACGAGAGCGGTATAGCAGCTCAAGCGGCTTGGGCTGATAAAAACACGAAAAAAAAACTGCGTTAATATCTACAATAACCAAAGTTACAGAGTAGCGAGCCGCGTGAAGACAAATTTATCTTGAGCGAGATAATTAAACTTGAACGCCATCAGGCGAGGGCAGGAGGCAAGGCCCCGCGGGGCAAAGTTCCAATCTGGACATCGATTCCAACACTCGCTGCTACTCAGTTGACATCCCTGAGAGAGAGAAACAGCGAGGCTCTACCTTGGTACACACACAACAACCACAACAACAACAACCACAATAACAACCACGACGATGAGAATTCTCACCTCGGATTTCAGTAAGCACGGAGAGCAGCAGCAGCTTCCTGTACCTCGTGACGTCACGCGGCAGCAGCAGGTGACATGACGTCACTCGGGTTACAAGCCCACGCTCCTCCCACAACGAGCGACCCGCAACTGAATAAATTATGTTTGAGGCGGCCCGCGCGTCGAGGGATGGGGGCGGGGCTGCTGAACCCGCAACAGGCGGGTGGCGGTTGGAGTTGGCGGTTTGTTGACGTCACCGAAGACCAATCAAGGAGCTCGCTTGGCTTGGACGGGTGTGGGGGGGCATGGAGGGTGGAGGGGGCAGGGGAGGGGGCAGGGGCAGGTGGGGGGTGGGGGGGCATGGAGGGTGGAGGGGGCAGGGGAGGGGGGTAGGGGGGGCAGGGGAGCGGTGGGGGGTGGGGGGGTTGTGGGGGGGGGGCATGGAGGGTGGTGGGGGCAGGGGAGGGGGCAGGGGGCAGGGGGCAGGTGGGGGGTTGTGGGGGGGGGGCATGGAGGGTGGAGGGGGCAGGGGAGGGGGCAGGTGGGGGGTGGGGGGTTTGTGGGGGGGGGGCATGGAGGGTGGAGGGGGCAGGGGAGGGGGCAGGTGGGGGGTGGGGGGTGGGGGGGGGGGCATGGGGAGGGTGGGGGGGTTAAAATGCGTCAGACCGACAGTGCAAGTTGGTGACGTCACCTGCCCCTGCAGTGCGCGCGCTGCGCGTGTCGCCTTGCACAGCTGCT